AGCAGAGTTCCATTGGATAAAGTCTCCCATCTCTTCAGTGGTAGCCTTCTTTTTTGTTTCCTTTTTTTGGTACACACCCAGTTGATTTCCCTTTTCTGGAAATTTATTTAAAATATCTTTGTTGACAACTCTCCTATCCTCTTGTTCTGTTATACATCCATTTTTTTTTTTGGATTCTGCTACTTGGTAACATTTTAATTTGAAATACTATTGGATTTATAGAAAAGTTGTAAGAACAGCAGAGAGTTGTATGCCCAACACTCAGCTTCCCCTAATTTTAAAAACTTACATAACCATAGTACAATTATCAAAGTTAAGAAATTAATATTTGTATGATACTGTTAGCTAAGCTACAGATTGTACACGGTCTGCAGTTTTCTCACTAGTGCCTTTTTTCTTTTCCAGGATCCAAGTCAGAGCCTCACATTGTGCTTAGATGTCATGTCTCTTTAGTCTCCTCTAGTCTGTAGGAAGTCCTTAGTCTCTCCTGGCCATGACTGTCAAAGTGTACTGGTTATTTTGTCAAATGTCCCTCAGTTTGGGTTTGTCTGATGTTTTTTCATCATTAGATCATTAGATATGAGGTTCTGTGTTTTTAGGAAGAATACAGAACGGATCTGCCTGTCTCAGGGAGGATCAGTCAGCATCTTACCACTAGAGATGTTAACTTTGATCACTTTATTGCAATAATGTCTTGTTCATATGGTGATTTTCTGTTTTCTTTAATTCTATACTTACTTATTATTTAAAAGTTTTCTGTAAGGCTGATCTATTTCTTCTTTTCTCTGATTATTCTGTTATCTTCTTATCTCTGTGAGGACTCTTGGATACTTAACTTGAATCTGTGGATCATAATCCAGTACTGTCATTTATTTTGTTCCTCAGAGTGTTCCAGCTTTGGCCATTGGAGCTCTTTCACCTTGGCTTATGTGCCCTACTGACATGTCCCTATCTCTTTGAGTATTTCATTGTTTTCTGTCACCAGAAGAAGGATGCTCCAGAAATACCTTGTATGTCCCCTGACACAGTCCTGGCATCAGCCACTTCTCCAAGGATTCCTGGATCCTTTCACTGGAGATTGATACTAACTGTACTCTGTAACTGGGCTGTCGTTGCTTTTAGGAAATACAAAGTAACCCATACATACACATAGATCTGAAGTTTTTTTCTGTGTCTGTTTACCTGATACGTATTTAAAACCATGATGAATTCATATGTCTATTCTTATAATTTTCTTTAAGTGAGATATTGGAAAAAATGAGGGACTAACACATAT